ATGGATATGGCTATTAAATTTAAAAAGAATCTAAAGCAACTGTGCTAATGAGCAGTCAATAACATATTCTCATATAATTAAATTGAACTAGGCACTGTTCTATATTAAAAAACATTGCCTAAAGCAAACTTTCCTGATAGAAATGCTGCAATCTCCACATCAAATACAGATTTTAATGCCACAATTGTATCAGAGAAAGAATTATTCACATAAGGCAAGTTAAGATGGAATTATATCACAGTGATTAACTTGCTTGTGGGTTAAAGTTGATTTCAAAAATCTATAAAACTAAATATGTGGAAATAATAGAAGGAAATCTCAGTTATTGGGGCGAATGTTTTCCTCTAATTAGCTTCAATAAATCATTACATTTATTTGTACAAGCAATTGAAAAATATACAGCTATTTAAAAACTAACCAGAGAAGCATTAAAACAAAGACATTTGGCTTTACAGATTATATTTCTTTTTAAAATATATGCTCATAGCTAAATTTGATAACTTCTATTAAAAATATTTGAAAAATTATCAATAAAATATAAAATAAGAAACATATACTAATAAAATGTATTTGGCTTATGGAGGAACATGAAGTCTCTAACATTAAATATTGGATAAATGTCAAAATTCAGATACCGTTAACTAAAGCTACATCCAAAAGTACATACATAATTCTAAGATGGTGACTGCAATTATGGAATTTATATTATTACTGCCATCAACCTTTCATTTCTTTTTCTACACTTGTATTTTAACAGGTTTAATCAATTTAACTCATAATCAAAAGGCTATGGCATAAATACACAATTGATCATGATAGAAACACAGATAGGTAGATACACACACACATACATAGAAACTTTTGTTACAAAAGCCATATGTGCTCACTGGCTGCTCTTTTGAGAATAGACTATACAAGGAACAAAGGTGGAAGTGCAGTTAGTTGGTATTAGAAAAACCCAGGGAAGATATGATGGTGACTTGTTCCAGGTGATAGCAGTGGAGGTGGTGAGAATTGGAGGTGGAGCCACAAGGATTCAGCAGAGGTTTAAATGTGGGAGATTTTGTGTTAAGCAACAGAAAGGTAGCGTTTCCATTAATTTCAGTGGGAAAGAATGGCTGTAAAACAGGTTTTTAGAAGATGATTAGAAGTTTGGTTTTGGACAACTTCACTGGACATGAGTAGGCAGTTGGATAGGAGAATCTATAGTTCAGTGAATCAAATCCAAGATTAGTATGAACATTGGGTGGTGATGGTTTAGTCATGAGATTGCAGGATGTTATTAAAGGAAATACAGACAAAAAAGGGAAGAGGCACAAGGACTGAGCTCTAAAATACCACCAAATTTAAAATATCATCTTATTCAAACTGCTTTCAAGAAATGTGCTACCAATTTACATACCTCCCAGAATTATATAATAATGCCAGTCACCAGCCTTTGCTAAGATTGGGTATCATCTTTGTTCATTTGACATATTAAAAATGTTTCTATGGTTTTCTTTGTTTGTTTGTTTTTAACTCTTTGTTCCAAGTGAAAATAAGCCTTTATGTTTATTAGTAATTTGTGTTCTGTCTTCTATAAATTACCTATGTCCTCGGTTCATTTTTCTCCCCAGGTATGTTAAAACTTCTTAATAATTTATAAATCACTTTACCTATTAAGGTAATTAAACTTTCACTTGCAAAATTTGTTGCAAATGCTTTATCTCATTTTCATAGTTTTCTAGTGTGAAAGACTACACTTTTTAGCCAAATCTATTTGTCAGCCACCTTGTTATATATTCTATTACTTTAATATGTATAAAGATAAATTAAATATATTCACACATTTTCTCCTAATAGTTTACAGTTTCTTGTTTTTGCATTTAATTCTCAGTTCTTCTGATATTTATGTTAGGTAATGAGTGAAGACTCTTACAAATATTTTCTTAGATTTTTAGTTCATTTTATAATGATATTAAGTAATTATCAATTCCGTCTCTACAATTCATTCTTTAACTTGTATTCAGTTCTTATCTATAGTAAAATCTAGTTCTGAGATATCTATTCCCTCTCTCTTTTTTTTTTTTTTTTTTTTTTTTTTTTTTTTTTTTTTTTTTTTTTTTTTTTTTTTTTTTTTTTTGATTTGGTTACTAACTCTTTTGTCTATGCTTCAAGTCTATATTATTGTATTTTAAAAGTAAATATTTATATGTATAATATATATACACCTACACACTATTTATTTGTTAAATAGCTGAATGCCTAACAGGCATATGAGTCTTCTACTCTAGTTGTCAGGTTCTTACAAAACCAGAGAGCTGAATGTCAGTTTTTGTTTTCTTCTTGTTTAGTATAGCATATGGTGTGTAGTCTAAGAATCATTTTTAAATTCAGTCTGTTCAATGATGCAATACTAGAAATCGCTACAGCCCCTTTCCAAGCCCAGAATTTGGGAGATGTCTTTTCTTCTTTTTCCTTCCTTTGGTGCTGTTACCCTAGAACTTATGCATCTGGGTAGGGATTTTCTTAATAGACTGGGATAAATCAATTCAACATAGAGTTTGTTTCATACATGAACAAGGAAACTTATATTTGTCACAGTTATTTAAATGTGCTTTTCCTATTAGTCAAAAACAACTTTAAGGATTCCTTACTCAATTAAAAGTCACATCCATTTTTTTCTTATCCAAATGCTAATCCATTTTAATATCTTAAAATTTCCCCTTAAAAAATCTTTTCAGGCCGGGCGCAGTGGCTTACGCCTGTAATCCCAGCACTGTGGGAGGCCAAGGCCAATGTATCACAAGGTCAGGAGATCAAGACCATCCGGGTTAACACAGTGAAACTCAGTCTCTACGAAAAATACAAACACACACACACACAAAAAAAATTAGCCAGGTGTGATGGAATGCACCTGTAATCCCAGCTACTCCGGAGGCTGAGGCAGGAGAATTGCTTGAACCTAGGAGATGGAGATTGCAATGAGCTGAGATCATGCCACTGCACTCCAGCCTGGGAGACAGAGAGAGACTCTGCCTCAAAAAAAAAAAAAAAAAACCTTTTCAATGAAATTAAATTCTTATTTCACCTTTAATATTTGTCTCCTCATATTTGTTCTATTAATTCATTTTCCTTGGCTACTCTACTAATCAGAATTACATTTCTTTAACTGCAAATTAACAAGTAAAAAAAAAATTATTTAAGGCAGTAAACGGTAGGTACATAGAAATTTTTCCCTGCTACATGGCATGTGCACTTTGAGACACTCTGCATGCTAGTGCATTAGACCCTAATTCCATCATGAATCAGACAGTTTAGCACATCCTCAAGGGGAGGCTTGAAGACAATCTAGTCAGGTCCATTCATGAACAACCCAGTATTCAGGAATATAGAGAGCAGGGACTCAAAACTCTGCCACATATTACATTTGTGCCAGAGGCCCTGGCTCAGACTCTTTTTGAATATACAAAAGGCCATTATTCCATCATTTCACTGATTTTTTTATTAGTTACCATATGGCTCTATTGCATTTTCTGGAAAGGAAAGCTTCTTGCTGAGATAGTTATTGACAAGGCTGATGGTTGCCTCTTGATCTGTTTCATTTAATGTGGACTTCAAAGGACACTCTGCTTTTGATGACTTAAACTCTGTTACTCTTACCTTCACCCCAAGGAAGATTCTGTTTCTTCTTTGGATACTCTTTCTACTAACCACATATTGGCTTAGATATACATTAATCAAATTCTGTAGAAATGCAGTTTGCTTTCTTCCTTCTGTGTCCATGCATATCACTTTAAGGGGCTGTTTAACTGGAAAATTTATACTGCATCTTATAAAATGTTGAAAGAGGAGTAAATCTCACCCCCTCTTACAATTCCACAGCATAGCTGCCCGCAAGTATCTCACCTGCACTCGCTCTGAAGGCTTCTCTCCCTCATTCTCTTCCTCGTCCATTCCCTACACCTCCACTCAACCGTCTATTCCTAACACCTGCCCTGGCTTAAAACCACTTACATCTTGCTTCATGAAATTGTCCTAACTAAACATCTACTTTGCTCATTTGCTTTTTCTTTTTATCATTGAAAGATGCTTTTTGAGCAGGTCTTAAAGAAAAACCATAAGTCAACCTCACAAGGTTAAAAGACCAAAAAAAAATTGTGAGAAATGAACAGGAAGGTATTATGCCACCTAATTATCATGCGTCAAAAATCAATACCTAAAAAAAACAGTCTCCACTGATGCATATAAAGTAAAATAGCTTAAGAGTGGTTTCCTTTAAAGCTCTGTGTACCAGCTTTATTTCTCATCTTCTGTATTTGATGTGAATAAGCTGGGTGTAGGAAATGAGGATTTTTTAAATTTGCTTTTATTTATTTTAAGGAGGATTTTGAGTTCTTCTTTGACCCAAATATGAGATAGATGAGAAAAATTAAAAGCAGCTCCATGAAAAGGCAAGCAAGAGAATAGAGATATCAGATGACTGGAGAAGGAGGTATCTATTTTATAGATGTGTGTACGCAAAGTTGAAAATAAAGAACTATAGGTTCTTTAAAAACATATGAGATGGGAGAAATTTAAGTGGAAGACAGCATAGAAGACACATACATTTTTAATTTATAGCAAGGAAGCCTCTTTCTAATTTTTAAATGAGCAAAAAAGGCAAAGGGGAAATCTAGAATAAATTCTAGCAGGAAAAATGGCGGCACTCTGAGTTTTAGAGGAACACAACAAATTACTATGAGAGGTAATGAGAGTGTTTTAGGGAAATAGAATAATGAGTTATTTTCAGAAACTTAATTTACTAAATTGAATGTGATGACTGGTACTAATTGATGATTAATAGTTCAGTGCTTTGTACCTTCTAAGCACTCAAGAAATATGATTGATTGATATGTCACTTACAAATACAGAAGAATATTTATGAAGCAATTATACAAGCAATATATGAGTGGGAAAGCTAAATGCATCTGAAGATCCTACTAAAATAGAAACTGGATAAAAATAATAATAACCCATACCTTTTCCGTGTCAATGCCTTTTGACATGGACCATGTTGAGACGATATAATCCATGACTCGCTCACTAAGGCCTTTTGGGACCTGATAGAGTTTCAGAAAGTCCCGTACATTATTCAGCATCTCATGGTATCGGTTGGTGTTGGCATACATTTGCTGGAAAATTGTTGTAACATTTCCAAAAATAGTTGCATAAAGAAGAGCTGAAAGAGAAGAAATAATATAAATAAAATATCTCGTGAAAAAAATACAAATATTTGCTCACTCGATGAATAATTTGACAGAGACATTCTTATAACCTTGTAGGGATTAATGCATGTTGAACTCTCAGAAGATTGCCTGGCATCTGGCACATTTTACTCAGGAAATGTTACCTTCAGTAGGAGAACCATGACTTTATGAGCACACACTACTCTAGTCAACATGAAAAACATAAGAGTCATCACAATATTTTTCTGAAGAATCAGATGATCCAAAGTTATAACTTTGCCTAAGAAATCCTATTTGTTAGTAAATTAAAGTTATCCTCCACTTTATCCTCCTGAATGAAGCCTAATCAATTTAAATTTTTCAGGGATTGATGATCCAGTTTAGAAATACATGTTCTTTCTCATTGCCTGCTTCTTCCAGCTTTTGGAATACCTTCCTGGTTATAAATATTTTTGACAGAATATCAGAAATTTAGGGAGTGAAGACAAATTAATGTGCTTCATGTTTAGAAGGTTCTGAAGATAAAGAGGTTTGGAGTTTTCAGCTAAAATAAAACTTTGGCAGTGCCTAGGAATTCCAGTTATTATATTCATATCATTATTCCAGTGATTTTTTTTATTCCGTCATTTTAATTAAATGCAAAGTTACCCCACTGACAATTGTCATTCATCTATGGGGGACTACGGATGGGATAGGGTATTTCACAGGCCTGACTGCTGCCTCTTCCTCAATCCATAATTCACCAACTCTTCTTTCTCCAGACATGATCAGGCTAGTAATGCTGACAGGATCCTACAAAAGTTTTTAGAAGTAGTTGAGTTCAGCCTAAACTGAACGAACTTCCCCTCTCCAATGGCACACTACTCCCAGCCTGCCCTGCCCCTCTAGTTTCACTACCTTGTTAACTGGAAGCTTTTTTGAAAAGGGGGCAGTGCTTTATTCACCTTAATGTTCAGTGCACAGACATTCCATAAGCATTTCACAAATAAGTAGACTCACAGGCAATGATAATTTTCATCCTACATACTCCAGGCATTTGAAAAATGACTCTAAACAAAATATAGGCTGTTTCACTTTGCAGTTTCATCAGCCAAATCCCATTTGATACAAGTGGTATAAAATCAGGCTAGTGAAGCGACTTAAGATCTTTAATATACTGCTTTTAGAAAATTATTTGTTTTTTCAAGAAGAGTTCTTTTCCTCTGAGTATAACAAATTATAATTTCACAACAGAAAGCTATTATTTTATAAAAATCTAGTCCGTTTTTCTGCTATTATCTGATGCCAGTGTAGGACAATATCAGGCAGATGATATTTTTTTAGCCCTGAGTAGGAGGAATACAGTATTGACATTTCTCAACTGAATCTTTATATTTTGAATATTCATATTAAAAAAAAAATAAAGGTAATCACAGACTTAACATCTCTATTCCACCATTGTTGCTATTAAGAAAAACAAATATAAGGTAAACAAATTAACGATAGCAGAATCATCTAACAAATATGGAATTTCGCCTTTTCAGAAAAGAGAAATAAGAAAAATTTATATTTTTAAAATAATGAGCATTTTAGGAGTTAATGAAATAATATTGTAGTTACGATTTTCAGTAGTGCCCAGCTATCATAAATTGTCCATAAATGCCACAGAACTACAAATTATTTTGACGTGTTTAACTTGTTTGGCTCTCTAAGATACTTGCAATATGCTACATTTGCCAAATGTCTTATTACTGCCTTTTAGTTTAACAAATTACTACATATTTCATCCTTTAGGTACATTAAATGTATACACAAAACACATTCTGCTCATATAAAAAGTTTAAAATAAAATATGAAGAATCTGCTAATGTATTAAAAGTTTGAAAGTAAAGAATTACCAACATCCCATTAAGTCTGGCATATTACAAAAATATCCACTTTTTTGGTCATTTTTCATTACTTTATGAACACATAATAATTATACATATTTATGAGATACAATGGTATTTTGATATAAACATATAATGTAAAATACCTCGGAATACAACTAACAAGGAATGTAAAGGACCTCTTCAAGGAGAACTACAAGCCACTGCTCAACGAAATAAGAGAGGACACAAACAGTTGGAGAAACATTCCATGTTCATGGTTAGGAAGAATCAATATCGTGAAAATGGCCATACTGCCCAAAGTAATTTACAGATTAAATGCTATCCCCATCAAGCTACCAATGA